GTGCTAATTTTTAGTCATAGTCACCATCTTGCATTACTGTAAAACAAACTATCCACATGGAAAAAATATGCTAATGATTTAAATATTTGTCAAAACATGATTTGTTTATTTTTCCAGCTATCCGCTGACATTTTTCAGTGTCTTATATTTTATATACACTATTTAGCACTAAGTTTCACTATATTCCCATATTCATAGCCTTCAGGGTTGTATACAGTATATAATCCCACACTACACTGAAATCTAGAAATAGCTTAGGTAAAAAAACCCAAAAGTTAGCATTCAAATTAACACAGATTGTTAAAACTCAAATTGTAAAAACATTCACTTGTATGCTCAGTTTCACAATGGTTACTTAAATCAAATGGTGGCAGTCAAGGTAAATGTGTAAGCATTTACAGTATCAGGACACAAAATCACAGAAAATAGAGATTAGGAAGTCTCTAATACTGTTTTAGACAACAGGAAGAGACAACACTATCAGATTCAAGTCTCTTAAACTTTATAATCTCTGTTATAATCAGCAGATACTTTCAAACTCACTGAAAACAAGAATTAATATAAAATAGTCCTATCATTCAGAATTTATTTTCTCACTTCCACCAGGTTACAAACTTCTTAACTCCCCTCTTCCAGAGGCTGATGGAAATGCTGGTTAGTTGATGTCTTCTTCCACTAATCATGACTGCCTTGATCAAAATTTAAATTGCTGCCTAGGGTTCATCATAAATAAGCCATTTTGTTCAAAACTGATGGAATTTGAGTTTCAGTGTACAGATGTATTTCAACAGCTTCCAAATTTTGGTTTCTTTTTACATCTTTTTTCTTTTTTTTTCCCCCCTCCTTTCCCTAATTAGAAGCAACAAGTCTCTTTAACGATTTTTTTCTACCTAATCTACACATTCTTCTAAAAATTCTTTTTCAAATCAGTATTTTTTTTTTCATTAATTTTACCCTCTTAGCAAAAGTACCTACCACACCCACTTCCTTCAAAGCAGAAGTCATGGAGATGACTGGTGTACAGGGCTTCACTGGAAGTTGTGGCTTAGGAAGAGGTGCTCCAAGCTCTTGTAGTCCATGCACAGGACTGTGTTCCGTAGCTCCCACATGAAAAGGCACATTAGGATTCTTTACCCCTTTCACTATCAGCTGTATAGATTCAATTAAAATAAATTTAAATTATCAAATTAACTTCAAGACTTTGCACATTAAACACAGTATTATCAAATAGGCTCATGTAAACCTTAGAAAAGGACAATAATGCCACACATTTTCGTACAAAAGACAACTGCCAACTGCACATGTGAACTACTTCCAGTTTATCAGCTTCACAACATCCTGGTTTTTGTAGTGATATATAAGTAAATGGACTTGTCACTCCACAGCACACAGAAGCAAAATAAGATTAAGTACGCTTTGGTAAGTTACAGATCATTAATAAAATACTTAAGGTGATCCTAATGATTCTTAGGTTTGATGTCCTCAAATTCTCAAGCCAAATTCTTCATTCAAGTATACCTAAAATTAAGCTTTTAATGAGAGAATTCTGACTGACAGATACTCTCCTCAGTTTCAGAAGACAAACTAGTTATCTAAGCTTGAAAAATCACAGTATACGATTTTAGTTATACAAAGATACAGCACTACATACTTTGACTGCGTGTAACAGATTTATTTTCTTACATGTTCTTCCCAGGCTCTTTTCTCTCTTTCGTATGCTTCCTTCCTCTTTCGCTCTAACTGTTCTTTCAGAACTGCAGCTCGAGCATTTGCTTGAGCCTATAGTAAACAAACAAGCAAAAAAAGATTATCTTAAAATCATGAAAAGCATTAGTACCCCAGTCCATGGAACATTTTAAAAAGAAACATTCTTGGATTAGTTCATCTTCCTTTCTCTCACTTATTACTGTATAGACTGTGAAAGGAGGACTCCACTGACAATCAAAATCACCACACAAGTGCAATAACTGATCTTCTATGTTGAATATAATTGGCAACTCCTCAAAACTCAATTACAATTCTTGATTTACATCGTTATATTTTTAGCGTACATAGTAAACTTAAACAGAGTAATGTAAAATTAGAATCTCTACTTAAAATTAGTTTTGAAGCCAAATGCATTAATCACAAAATATTAAATATTCATTTTAAACTTTACAAACTTATTCAACATAAACACAAAAAGCTTCAATTGCTGTTTCACCTCTAGTTTTAAGGTTAGGCATAAGGTTAGCTTGTTTTTAGATTGCTCTTTGCAGATGATGGGGGGAAAAAAAAAAATCATAGGATAGAGTAACACTTGCTATGTATCATATGGTAGAGATAGTTATTGATATAAGAACACCACATGGAATAAAGTTCCAATCAAACATTGGATTTCTGTGAAACACATTTGCTTTAAACGTACTTCATCACAGGGGTACATAGCTCACCTTCCAATCCACATGTAGCCTGTGTCAGCACATGTAAGGAGTTTTGCCTTCCTTTATTCTTTTAACTAAAATAAAGTTGTTGCTATTTAAGGTACACCGTCCTTTCCCTTTCAGTATCAAAATGCTATTTTAGTTATACCAAAAATGCCTTTAGGACTAAAGCTAACCTAAAGAAAAATCTCAAAGGCAGGGATGGCAAAAATCCTTGACTTGCTATGCTATGTCACAACATATTTTAAAATGACTGAGATAAAACAGTTGAACAGAGTCGTTACCTCAACACAGTTAAAATAAAAACCTCTTATAGTGGATGTATGAACAAACTATTGATAGCAAAATGAAATGTAAGAAGCTTCAGGAGATATGAAACAAATCTGAAAACAGTAAGTTCCATCTCCTCTCTCCCCACAATTACCTTCTGTGCTTCTATCTTTTTGCGTTTCAGTTCTGCTTCTTCACTTGATTCTTGTCCATCAGAACTGGCAGCTTCATTCTGCAATGTAAGAGTCCTCAAAGAATTATCATTAATTCATGTATTTAAAAGCTGATTGATATAAGTGACTACTCGGATCATTTAGACTGATTATACAACTAACACGGGTCATAATTTCCCTGGGTAACTCCTCGCTCAAATGTAACATCTACTCGGACAGAACTTCATCTTTGAGATTTCTGGAGGTTTGTTTGTTTATTTGTTTGGTTTTGTGGGTTTTTTTTTTTTTGTTTTAAAAGAAGCTTTTACAAGCCAGGAAGAAAGTAATATGCCTACTGTTGCAAGGGAAGTGACCTAATGATGCTGGGCTCTCACCTGCCACCCCTCATCACTGTTGCATGCTCTGCAAGTAAGGTATACAAGAAAGGTTTGAAGCTCTCGAATGCCAGTTTCTTCCACTGTATGTGCTCCAAGGAAGGTGGAATGGGTGAGGGGGGGAAATGGTAACAAGTAAGAATATATAAGGTCTACCTCTGAAATCTCTGTTTTCAATCTCTCTTACCTCTTTCCATGGCCTCTGCATATTCTTATTTACAGAACAGACTGACAGAGTTACGCAAAAGAAGTTCCGACAGGAGCCTTTTGCTGTTCATGACCAACTTGTGCAGACCTTTTATTTAAAATAAACTATTTAGAAGGCCTATTTAATAGGCTTCTTGCAGTATAAGAAAAAGAGTGTTATTAAAAATAATTTGGCAAAACACAAGCAAGAATTTTAGGTAAATTTTAAAGTGAAAAAAAAAAAAAAAATTAGGTCATGCCCACCTTGGCTTCAGTCAGCTAACAGGAAAAAAGATGACTGGAAAGAATACTGAAGACAGAAAAACTTCAAAAGAATAATTTGACACTTTTCAAAGGCAAATAAATGAATACATATTCATCTATTGTATATAAAATAGGATACTACGCAGTATAGGATACTATGCAGTAGCAATAGATATAAAATTGTTAATCAACATAAGGAAATAAACATATCTATGACAACATTTGGTCTGAGGTAGTGTTCCTCTAGAAGTGAACCTCCATGCTAAAGTTTGCATCCGCAGGTCATCAAGAAAAGAAACTGTTAAACTTGGTCTCTGAATTCTGAAAATTAATTTAGGCCTACTTCCTGGAAAGTTATTAATCTATTCTCTGTTCCTTTGTAGGTGGCATACCTTCTGAGACATACAACACTACCCCAGGTAAGGTACAGCCACTGGAAAAGGAAGTTAGGTTCCTGATATGCCTCATAACCCATACAGAGAATTAATGTCATGGTCACAGTAACTAATTTTGTTTGACTTTACTAGCACAAGCAGCCTTGGCCTCCAGAGAAAAGGTTTCTGGAGTGTACCTTTACTTCTGCAGTTAACCATACCGCAGGTAGAGTCTAGGTGCTCCTAATTTTGAGAGAAAGTGTCACAGCTGCTCAGTGAAAAAAATTAAAGAAACAGTGCAGTACAGCAATAGCTCTATACTGGTAACATTTTAGCACTGCCGTCAGTATTCTAAGGGTACTCAGGAGCCACAGTAAGATTTCATAGGGCTGTGTATGGAGATGACTAGTCCCACTGTATCAGTTTTGAAGCTTGTCCAAAACAGCAGAGGAGACACAGAATTATGAGTGAAACTAGCACCAAATGCAATTGAGACAGCATGTGCTTATGGTGCACCAGCTTAGCATTTTATATGAGACATCACTAGTGATAAACTTCACTGACCAGCCTCTACAGTAACTTCATAGACTCACATTGATTTTCCTCTTGTTCCTTAAGACAAACTTAGGAGAACGGCCCATGTTGGTACCATGCCAGCCGTAGCCACTAGCACATCTTATAAAGTTTGCATAGTCTTCTCAGTAGAAACATACATAACTTTTGCTCTGGATCATTCATTTTACATTTAAAGGGGCATGGGTTCCTCTTCAATGCACTAAAGAAGTTCTGCACCTCAATCAAGGGATTGAATTTGGCTCTCTGCGTCTCACCAGCGAGATAGGTGCAGTATAAGTTAAAGAAAATAAAGAAAACAATTCAAAAGAAGTCACTAATATAAGAAAAAAATAGAATATTTTAGCATTAGAACCACCCCCCCCCAAACCCACAGCAATGCAGAACTCTGTTTAGCTGGGATGGTGGTCCAAAGAAACTAAGTGGTACTGGGCATGCTCTTGCCTTATATGTCCACTCACTATACATAAGATGCATGTGAAAGCACTTAATACGGATGCTTGAAGTGGGCGAGGCAGGGCAGGAACACTTCTCTAATTTTAAAGCACAATGTGAATAAATAAGCAGGTAATCACTTGAGGAAACCCAAACTGCCTATTAAGACAATGGACAGGAAGGGGAAGAACAGACAGGAGTACAAGATCACACAGTAGGTTAACGAAAAAATGGAAACAAACTCCAAACCATATTTACTACATAGATTGCCTCTCAAATGAAACTCTTTTTTAAACAAGTAAATGGATTGCTTTCAAGGGTGCCTTGGGTTATTCATTTGACACCTTAAGAAGTGTTTGTTCTGAGTCTACTTTATGAATGTATTATTTTGTTTTTGTTGTATTATGAACATATTTTGGAAAAGCTATGTTTGGAAAAAAGTGTATTGATCAAATTGGGCTCATGCCAGGAGTTTTTAACTTTAATACACACCTACAGAATGTATGAAAAGAATTGCTTCATATGCATTCTGTGTGAGCATTGTCAAAAAGTGAATTCTGGAGAAGTTCCTATAACAAAAAGCAAATAAATATAAACATGCTAGTGCTTTATGAGAAATATACGTGACAAATTCAGATGTAACCTTATATTGTCTTGTTTTTAAAACGCTGTTAGTTTACAGGCACTGAAGCTGCACCTCAAGCACTGAAATAACAGATTTTGCATATTCTGGAAGAAGAGATGGAAGTACACTAACTGTGGAACAGAATGTCAAAAATACATTTTCGAGAATATACGAAAGAAGTCTTCCTGCAGGGATAAAAGAATACATCCGACAGCCAACTTCCATGAGTATTTAAGATTATGTTTCAAACCAACCTTCTCTCCACGAAGTTTTGCTCTGATCTGTTGACGTTCATTGAAGTTTTGTAGCCGGATCTGTCTTAATCTTGCCAAATATTCCTAAGGCAAAGAAAGGAAATAAGTTTCAGTTATACTGAAACTGTCTCCAGTATGGTTAACTTAAAATACATAAGATTCCACAAAAAAATAAGATGGGTGAACCCCCCCCCAACTATTACTATCACCATATTAGCATTTACTAATCTCCAGAAAAACTCTCATCTAATGAAAATAAAGAAAACTGGAACGTATGTTTCCCAGTATTAAGCTATCATCACATTTTATATCATGGAAGGCTAGGAATGGTTATATTTATCAAAACAGGATTAAGATATACAGAGTCATATCTATATGTATGCACATTCAAGAACCTCTCTGAGACAGACTGATGTAGACAACTATTATTTTCATTATTTAAAAAAGAAAAAAAAACCAAACAAACAAAAAAGACACGCAACCTCTAGAACTTCATACAGTAAATTATTTCCTAGGAATTTATAAAGTCCTTTTATTTTGTTACACAGATGAACCATGCAGGGAAACTAGGCACAGTCAAGGTCAAAATAGTGCTATTTGTGTGATGAGCAAAGTGGCAAACATGCGGCAAGCATACCTCTTCCTCCTTGTTTCTGGATTTCCTTCCTCTTGCAGAAATGGGCCTGCCTCCATAGATATCTGCCACGTTTTGCAGTGTACCCTGTTTACCATTTAATGGTATCAAATTTAAGGTGGCTGAGGCAGTAAAATTATCTGCTTTATCCAATAACTGTTCACTTACAAGAAACCAAATCCATCAATAATCTGTAGTTATTCTGAACTTAACCGATAACCCCTTTTCACTTACACGAAACATATGACAGTAGTACCTAAAAATCCTAAATAGCCAGAGAGACTAGAGCTTTAAGAATATAGTTGCCTTCTCCCTGCAATTCTGATCTTCTCCTGCTATGTTAGAAAGCCTAAATTCTGATGGGCACAAGTTTTTCTACATCTGGATTATATGTAAATTGTGGCACAGAGTTGGCATTTCTGCCATTTTTGAGCCAAGCCTAAAATAAAAGTGGAATCTTTATATGTTCTTGGATTAAGCTTTTTCCACAATGATGACTTTTTAAAAAAACATACTACAAGTAGCAAACTCAAAAACCTAATAAAATACTTAAATATACCTATTACATCTAACAAGCTGTGTTAAATGCTTAATGCATATGCATTCATAGGGTATAGTCTTGGTTCGTGTGATGTACTTAGTGTCCTAACTGTCACCAAAAGGATTTCAACCTTTAAGGAAGTCCAATACAAAACAGCACAAGAATCACTTAACTCCAGATTTCCCACTTTGATTAAAATCCAAAATATTTAAATTATTTTGTTCATGATATACCTCTGCTGAACAGGTTAAAAATATCTTGATTTGCTAACTCAACATACAATAAAGACAGTAAGCGTACATGTGATAGTTGCATCGACCTTCTGCCTTATAAAATACCAGGGCTTTAGCTTTCTGAAGCTTCAGTGTAAAGAACCATCAGTAAGTAAATACTCCAGTTAAGTTCTTGGTAGAGATGACTGAATCCAAATATTCTGGCTAAATACTCTCTCAGATTGAGCAAAAAATCAGTAACTCAAGGAAACAGCACATTTCTGCATTTCTGTGGTTTAGTGTCTGGGAGATCAGAGAACAAATTAAAAGAACCACCCTGTGGATAAGAAGTAGCATACATTCATGAGGACTCCATGAATTCTGGTTTCAGCTTGAGTATTAAGTCATACAAAATGGAAAGGAATATTTTCCATATTCACCTTTTCAGAAAATACTTGGGTTTATTTTTAACTTTTTAATGCATATTCCTGGGCTTTACAAAAACTAACTGGCACTATTCAAGTCATCTTGTTGTTCTTCTTCATTCTAGCATACAAGTTACTTTAGGTATTTTCAAACTGATGGAGATGTATATCACTGCACTTAAACAAGAAAGAAACTGGAAGCAAGATTTTTGAGAACTGATTTCCTTTCTGTGGATTGTTACCTTTTACTCATCTGCCTACACTAAAATTTTCCAAGACCAGGACTCAATGTTTTGCAATGCCACACAGCTACAGTAAAGTAGTAAATTAGGTCAGCAGCTGTCTTAAAGAAAAGATGACTGAAAGTATCATCAACGCAACTACTGAGTCAAACTTTAGACTGTCACTTGAAAATTAAAATTGACAGCAACTACGTTTAACAGAAGCTGGGTAAGTTAGTGCGAGTCATTTGACTTACAAGTCTTTATACAACACAGAGCTGCATATTAGTTGATAGTTCCTACTGATGTCTCCTCTTAGATCGTCATGGTCTGGACAATAGTCCCATCCCTATATGAGAACTATTGCCAGCTAGTCAAATTATTTTCCTGCATGAATAGAAGGAAGCTGCTGAGAACTTCTGCTATCGATGGCAAATGATAATACATGAATTTGGGACCCTGGCTTTGAGTTACAAGTCTTAAACATCTGGAAGTTACTTTTACACTGTTCAGTAACCTCCCTGTTTTATTACAGCAGCCCGTTAAGAATAAAACATTTGGGCTCAGTTGAATACATTAGAGAAACCTGAGAAACATTAACCTGAATACTTGGGTATCTTGCATTAATTGATCTCATACATTTATATTAATGCCAACAAAGTCAAGAACAAAATGGAAGCAGGTACTACTAAGGACTTGTCTAATAAGAGGCAGTCTTAACAAGAATTGTTCATTTTTTCAAAATTATTTACTGGTCTTGGAGGTTTTAAAAAATAGAACCATAGTTTTAAAGTGGAAGACTCGTGCTTTAAAACATATATACTAATCTAAGGATACTTCACCATCAAAGCAATGAATCAAAGTATCTAACAATTGCTCACTGTAAGTGAAATAATCCCTGAAACAAAGACCTGGCTGTAAATCATGATCTGATATTCAGCTATAACTCAGGAGATGCTTTTATAAATCTGCAGTTGGTCTCATCTCACTGCAATGCCAGCACGGTCAGTTTAATTTCAGCAGCTGACAGTGATATTGTGACATGGTTGTATATGAATAGTGTGGAGAAGCACTCAAAAAGCAAAACTCTCCACATTATGGAGAAAACACATAGTCCAACCACACAAAGTCCTAGTACAAATGAGTCATTTCCAACATATTTTTACTGCAAAACAAACTTCCTAAAGGAATATTGAATTTAGAACTGCAAGCATAAAGAACAAAGGACATTTTGTGACACTGTCCACTAGTTAATCTCTAAAGAGTAAAGGTTTTAGAAACATCAACCTTGACAAAGATGGATGTCTTTATAACACCTTCTCAATAAGCAGAATGTGTTTTTGTAAAACACACTACTGTATCTGATCATTAGCTGTATCAGTTTAATAAAACTTCATTTTAGGTTCAGGCTACTGAATAATATATGAAGTTTAATTTTAACCAAAACTTTAAAGCTATGAACAGAAAAAAATGTAAAAGAATGTTTTAAAATTCACAATATCAAGTTAGACACATGCAAAAAAAGACATTTTTCTTTTTTAATAAATTTACAGTCATGAGAAATGTATTGCACAATTCTGTTACATTTTAATAAAATCAATAACAAAATGCAAAAAACCTACCTCCCATTCTTTTTTTTTTTTTTTAAAAATACTTAAGGAAAATACTTAGCCAGCATTTCGTGGTTATGATGCTACTTCAAAGATTCATAAAGCATGCTGAAACAGTACTATACATAGGAAGACCAGATTCCATACCATGTGTCCCTCAGCTCGAGCTTTGTTTTCCATGGCTTCTCTCTTTCGTTGCCAAAATTCTTCAACTTGCTTTGCTCTATCTGCAGCTATCCATCCTTTCTGCCTGAGTAATTGCAACACATAGCAAGATGAAAGTCTCTGAAATATGACACTCAACCCCCCGCTCTGAATTTATTCTAACTAGGACACACACAAAAAAAGTAACTTTTTGTGAGTAAGGCATCTTCAAAAAATGCCTTTCATCAGCCAAAATACAAGTCAGACTTCCACAAAATAGAGGAAAATAGGCTCAACTAAGTTAAAAGAACAATTTAAAACCAAACCAAACCAAAACACCGTGTTGTCCTTCCAGATCCTGGTCATCAAAACAAAATGAATGTCAAAACACAATCTAAGTGTGATTATTTCTGAAAATGTCTCAGCTTGTTTCATTATTGTTAGCGTTTGTGAAAAAGAAGACTCCTTCAAGGTTTCCTTTCAGAGATGAGCAAGAACTCATCACATGAGCCAGTCAGTAAGGTCAATACTGCAGCAGTCTTTCAAGACTGACCTACGTTTGGAGTAAGAGCTTCTACCACTTAGATAATTAGTACAGTGCTAGTATTCTCAGAGTGTTCTGGCAACTCCTTTTGGGGGATCTTGGGGGATTTTTGTTTGTTTTTAAAGGAACTGTGAAGGAATTTTCCTACCTTAAGAGTTAGCCAGAACAAGATGGTTTTTTCACATGTTCCACCCCAGGTCAGGGACCTGCTTGGGTAGACAAGAAGGCTATGTTCAAGTTACCGTAACTGAGCATCTGGCAAGTCTCCTAGTACATACATACAATCGTTTTGTAGTGGAACCATTACAAGTGGACTCAGAAACAGCTTTCTATTAAAAAGAACCACTGAGAAATGGTGCAAGGTATTCTAACAAATGGTAGAATGATGAGGCAATCCCCTCTCCAAGGTTCCCCTAGCCTCGTTTGACTGAGGAATACTGGGTGTCCAGGAACAGGCAGGAAGAAATTGGAATAAGTTGATAGCAATAACCCATCAGGCTGAGACAGTTAAAGAAAGAATCATTTTGCAATACAGAAGCCATTGCTCCTAATTCATAAACGAATTAGCACACTAATTAAACATCCTTGCATCTTGTTTTTTCTCTTGCCTCACCCCCCTCGTCCCCAAGCAACAAGGAAATGAAATGTTTCCATATGCTACAATTCATAAGAGGAAGACAGAGACAAAACTACTTTGATACAGTAAAACAAACGCTGTACCTGCTTGAAAAGGTAAGATGATCTATGTAGGTGTTACTGGTGAAGAAACAAACACTTGATAATCTTTGTATACACATATTTGACTCACTATAAGATTTTTACTGTAACTGTTCATTACATGTGGATAGTGAAATCTGTCCAAACCTGTGTCATATAGCTGAAGCTTAGCTTACAGTGTTGGAGGAGAGGTGCTTCCCAAGCAAAAAAACCACCAAACCTACTTGTCTCAAACCAAATTCACAGGAAAAACTTATTTCAACTAAATTTTATGAAAATGGTTTTCCCTACTCTAAAGCTAAGTGACTCATTTTCCTAAAACATTTCAACTAGATTTCTTCTGGATTGCATTTCTGTCCAAGAGACAATTTTAAAGATTGTTGACTTTACATTAGTTGTGGTAGTGTAATCAGAAAGATTGCAACTTGAGGATTGCTCAACTTCTTTAATATATGCTCTAAATTACCTATCTTTAAGAAAGTTGCAATTATTTAAATTCTTTGTTTGAGCTAAACACCCTGAATGCTTATCTTTATATTTCACCTCCAGCTGAAAGAATAAACTGCAGGAGAGAAATACTGCTAGGCTAACTATGATAATAAAATTGCTTCTAATTATTAAAGTACAAATACTTACCACATTTTAAATGCTAAGAAACAGCACCTCAATTTAAGGCTAAAGGTAATCCAGCTTATAAATAGAAAAAAAATCTCTACCTACTTTGAAACTTCTGCACAGTATTTTCATTGAGTGCTTCCAAGTTCACATATTTGAAAAATACTGAATCAGTTTCTCTTCATGATATCCACATTATTCATAATTTGCAGCCCTCTACTATAGTTCCTCTCAATTTTAACACATTTAAAAGAGTTTACCCAGGTGTAACCAACTATCATTTAACATTGTCAGATGTGCGATGAAAACAGTGTTTCCTAATCTAGGCAAGACTTGAGGATTGTGGCACTTTGTGCAAAGCATTGAGAATAAATAGAGGAGGGTGGAAATACGCGTCTACATCAGCTGCGAAAATACACCTTCCAGTACTGGGTTGTACGAGGAGGAATTTTAATTTGCTCACAACAGCCCAGATTACTATAAAGAAAATAAAATATACCTTGTAGCTTGCAAAATTGTAACATCAGTGTTGAACGTGTTATGTTATTGCTGCAAATTTTAAAATAGAAAAAAAATCTACAAAGGCAAAATATATTAAAACATAAAACTGAATAAAATTAGTTTAGAAGAACAAATGTTTTCTTTGGCCACTTCCTTTTCCTCACATTAACTCTATTTATTTCTTCCTCCATGGGATACATCGTTGGATCTGCAGAAGTTTAAATAATGCATGAGGAAATTTATCCCTCTAGGAAAGTTGGTTAGTAACGCACATGTACTAAACTTCTAGAGGAAAGATATTTTCCCATTTACTGCTCACAAGTGTGGACACAGTTCTTTGGGCAGTATTAACAGCTCTGAAGGAGAGCAAAGAAGTTTTGAAGAAGCTACTTGAAAGAGTGTAATCATTAAAAAATAAAAATTCAATGCTTCTTTACAATCCTTTTATATATAAAATACTCAGTTTATAGTCATTGCAAAGAATAAGCATCAGCAAATTAGAATTTGCACACCATTATAACATCTGGCATTCACATCTCGACGAAAAAAGCTCCTAGAACTTTTCCACTGATCAATAAACAGGAGCTAACAATTCTGGGAGCATTCTAGACACCATCCTATGCTAGAGAGTCAAATACTTAGATGTAGAGAAGGCAATCAGAATGAGATGATAGGAGAAGGAAGCATCTTGTCAGGTAATACAAAAAGCGGAACTATGAAAAAAGCAAAGGAGGAGGCTTATAATGTTATCTGCAACTGCATTAAGCCAAAAATTTTGGCTGAAATCGAGTTTAGTTACAGTTGTTAGTAATCCATTTTTTCCACTATTGGGGAAGCCAAGGTTTCCATTGGTTCTAAAAGAATTGTGGTCTAACACACAAACAGACAGCACAGTACCAATGGATAAACGTGATTTTGAGACATGTCCAACTACTAAGTGAAACAAGACACAGAACAAGAATCTAACATGTAAGGACAGATTTATGGATTATCATAGTCCAACCTGTTTGCATTGGCTTGTTTAGACACCTCCTTCAATCTTTTCATTTTTTTCCTAACTGCACCCGCATCAGGTAAATGGTGATGACCCGCAGGCCCCTTAGGAACTCCTGGACGTATTCCAGGTGGAATTCCTCTGTAGACAAATATGTACAGTAACTTTCATTACTTTCATCTAAAGCAGACCACATGCAACTTCTAATGGAAGGTATCCATACCTTTCAACAACTTCTCGGCCTTGTACTTTCGCCCTCAATTTGGCTTCCCTCTCTTCAGCTACTCTAATGTTTTCCTTTTGCTGTTGCATCTGGTCAAAAATAGCATGATAGTGTTCATATTGTCCTCTGGAAGACACAGGAAAAGGACCAACACCACCTCCACCGCCATAATATGGTGCCTGGAAATCAAAAGGGGTAGGGTGGAAATCTCAAATACTGGTTTTAACAAGCCCTTCCTATTTTCGCCTCTTCAGCAGAATAAAAGCATTAATATGTTCTGGAACAATTCTGAATTGGTCCTAGTTTTATTCCTGGCATGCCCCTATTTTAACGAACTACAAGATAGATAAATTAAAAACTTATTTTTCTGTTAGCACTCCAGAATAACACAGCATTTTACCTCCCTCTGATAACAGTCTAGTTATACATGAGACATATGTCGCACATTTTGGAAGTTATTGGTAACAAATCCATTGAAGTGTAATTGGAGATAGATGTTCTTACATGGCAAGTATCAAAGTTTTAGCACAAAAGCTAAAAGTGATACAATACTAACTAAAGTACTAATGAGTGATTTGTAGCCAAACACCCATTTTTTCATGAAGTTGGAAACAGTTAAGCACACTTCTAAAGCTGCTGAATGGCATTAAGTGCAGATTTATCTGAGAATCCCCATTGTTACCGACCTATAATTGGTTTCATCACCAGAATTGAGATGTTTCCCTACTAAAGCTCCGATCAGGGGAATATCTACCACAAGCTACTGCTTTATGCGAATTATCTCTGTCATTCTCAAAGAATTAGAATTTCTACAGAACCTTCATGTGAAAATAATAAAAAAAAAAATGTTGCAAGCAGCTGTGTACAGTAGTAGCCAAGGATGGATGCAGAAAATGTGAAACTGGCAAAACAAGGTTAAGGTTGTCAGCACATGCATAAAAATGTTCCCTTTACACCTGGGGGAAGCAGTCAAATAGCCCATGGTAGTGAATCTATGGAATTTGTTTTAACAATAGTGTCGATGTTCCTTCCAGAGTGGTCTTGAGTATTTTAAATAAATTCAAATAAGTGAGTGCAGATGTGACAGGTTTAAGATTGCTTACTTAGAAGTTCTTGAACAGATTGTATTTGACAATGGAATTTAGCTCATATTCTGAGTTTCAGTTGCTCGACACCCATCAATAGCTCCCCATAATCCATATGATAGAATATTAACTGAAAGAATTATCCAGGCATTCAAATAAATATGCAGGTATACTGTTCGTCTGAATAAAAAGAATTTACTATACAAGACTATAGTTTCTACAAATAGAAGGAAAAGTCTTGCTTTAGACACTATTCAAGGTTTCACCGATCATTATTAGAGCTCAGTTTTCAAAAGGATTATCTAAAGAAATAATTTGATCAATCTCTAGGCAAATGCTATGAAGCAGGTGCTCATCAACACAGAACAGTCTGCAGAACAGTTACAGCTCCTGCTAAAACCACAAACCCAAAGTTTCCCTACTTTGCCTCAGAAACAAGTGCCAGCAACGAACCCAAAAAGACAATAGGAGGAGAAAATCATGCAGTGCATGACCCTGCTGTGCCTTCCTAAGAGGCTATACGGCTTGCATTATTGCAAAGCTTGAACAATGCTATTCGACAGCATCATCAGGGAGTTGCTGGATACACTGTTTTCATGTTGGACAAAGGAAAGGGATAATTAAGTCAAGAATACTATAACAGTATATGGAAACCTGGAATGATGATAACCTAGCGACCTGCAGTAAGATTTGTACTAAACTATCCAATTTGGAGAAGACATTTCAATGAATTTTAAAGCATGTCTGCTACGGCATTTTACACCACTGACACTTAGTAAAAATATACACAGCCACTAAACCTCAGTTTCCCTAGATGACTGAGAATACTGATAATGATGCAGCTGTAGCTACAACAGAACACTTCACATGTTCACAGTGTCTAAGGACCTTGCAATAATACTCTCAAAGTTAATCAGAAACATGATTGTTTTCAGGAACATATGTAGCTCTCATCCAAACCATGACAATGCTGATACATTGTGTTATATGAAATCTCGTAATGGTGCCTGCCAGTTTCATCTTGAGAGAGAGAGAAGGATGGCATAGGAACCAAACGATGTTTTTTGATTTTTCTATTAAATCAGCACCTGGTAGTTTTTGAAGTCTGGTATGCTTAAGTTTGCTTTTATATTTAAGTTTTACTGATACCATGTATGGCACACATCCAAAGATGATGTCTATTTTGAAATAATATATTTAATAAGCAGCTACTGAAACCTGGTCAAGTGCTTGTGTAATCCTCATATTCTTGTAAAAGGAACAGAAAATAAAACCTCTATTCATTTTGACTCTACTGCTCAGTCAGAGCTTGTTTACAAAAACCCTACTAAACATGTTCAGGCCAAGTATTTTTGTAAGACTCGCTACCACCCCAACAAATAGCTGTGTTTTAATCCATTTCATATTGTCAGATAGATTTACACCACAGCAATACTTAAATTCCTGCTCTGTCTTATGAAAGTACCCAGACCTTTACATTCAAGTAAGACTACTTCCCCGAACAGTTATGTTTCCATGAAACTATGACGCACACAAACAGGCAAAAAGAAACTGTCATAGGAATCAGATTAAATTATGTAATTAAATTATGTAAGAAGTGAATGGCTAAAGAGTTTACTGCTTTCAGAAAAAAATAATTAGATTTACTCAGGATTTTTCACCCCCCTCCTGAAAAACTTATCAGTATATATAAACATTTATGTTGCTAAATAACAAAGAATGCTTAGAAGCATTAATACTGGGGAAGAGGCCCATTATCATAATATGAAAACCCGGAAAAAGGTATCAACAAAAGAATTCAAGAGCAAACTTGAATGTGAGAGAAGCTGTTCATGCATAGATTCAGCACAGGAAAAGTAGCAAAAGCAGGAGTGGAAAAAAGAAAGTGGTGCATGAAAGCCATCACTGGCAGAAAGAGAAGAGATTCAGAAATTTAGTAAGTATTAAAAATGAAAATTGCACATGATCTCCAAAAAGCCAGGGAAGAGAGTCTGTTGCACAGTTTCTCGTAAATTATCCATAGATTAATAATGGGCAGCCCCGAGAGGTGACCTCCAAGAGCAGATCTTTCTGAAAAGAGAAGACCATGCCAGATAACCAAAGGTGGGGGGAACAGACTACACCACATTTCTGCATCTGCTGCCAACCTTAACATCACCACTTCCACCTGAACCAAGCACATTCCTCCATCCTTGTTCCCTGGCTCTGTTTATTCGTTCCATCTGAAGGAGAAAACAATACAGGAAAACATAATTCAAGGAATCACTAAGTAAAAATTGAACGTCACTATTACACATTTTAAACATATTTTACCCTTTCTTTTTCCAATCTTCTCATTTCATCTGCCTTCAGTAAACTGATCTGCAATGTGTAAGGATGAAACATGTTTAGTAACTGGGAAATCGAACTACTCCATATTCTTACGCAACACCACACCACACCACAAGATATTTCATTAAAATTACTAAGGGTGGAAAAAGAAAGTCCCAAGAATCTTGTCTACCTGATCTCTCTGACGTTTTTCTTTTTCAGGCAATTCTAACCTTTTCTTTTTTGAAGGTTCCTGAAAAATAAGCATATAATTTGGTATTTGTTACTGAGCCATTATTCTGTCAAGTCTCTGTCAAGAAACATTAGTGCTCCAATTGCTGGTATGTGTCCACGAAGATTAAAAAAAAATTTTTTTTAAAAATCACTGTTACATAATGTTTGGGAAAAAAGATAAGGAAGAAAGGTTTGAAGGTTTCATTTTGTCATTCTTGCTCTGCACTTAGCTTTTGCTTAGTTTGAAAATTAACAGATGATTTTATCACACCTCACACATTTTCCTCCTTTCTTCTCCTGGATTCATTTTCTTCACTGGAGTTGGAAAGGCCTGGATAGAAGGTGAAACTTCAAATTAGATAGCACGATGCCAGAATGAGAGAAAAATTCTAATCAGGGAAAAAAAAAAATCTTAAACCCACAACTTAGTAGGTGCAAAATGGGGTTTAAAATAATTACTTACTCAGGAGGTTTTAAATGAAAAGCTCTCCTAGGATCTCGGGGTAAATGCTAGTATACTTGTTCATCCTCTACTAAAAGCTCTGTCTTGAAAGCTGAAGGCAGTAATTTTAAAATCTGTTTTGTCTTAATTTTTCTTCTCTGACAATATCATTCCGCATTACAATCTTTTCCTATTATTAGTCTTTGAGGGTCCCTAGATATTAAGATTCTCTTTTATTTGGAGAATGGATTTATTAGGTTATCCTTAGGCTCTTTCATTGGGTAACTCTAACCAAGGTTCTTGTTATTTATGGAAGAGGAGAACGCAGCCACTATTGAACACCTGGTAAAGAAGCAGCTACATGTAACAAACCATGCTGCTTACCCTAATCTTCTCAAGAGTGATGGTTACTTTTAAAGCATTTTTTTTTTCTGACCGTACTAGAACACATAGAGCTTCATAATACGTTCTTTTGAGACCTAAAATCCTATCAAATGAGTACTTTAAAATCAAGTATTTCGGAAGATGGACACCTTTAGAGACTTAAGTCAATGTAGTTCAACTACAGTGAGTTAACGTAATATCACTGAACAAAGGAGATGATTATTACATGCTCCTCTGAAAAGCTTGTTGAGAGCTGCAAGCTCAGACTACCCTGGAACAACAGCAAAGAGAAGAAAATTTGTATTAACACTGTAGCCATTGTTTCTATCCTACATCTTATCCCTTGTTACTAGGTACAATCCACACAAAGAATACGTCTTAAAATTGCAGCATTACTGACTCCTTATATGCAACAAGAGGATATTTCCTCAGTCTCTGCCCTGCCGCTTTTGAGTCTCTATGCAAGTTGGATTGGTGTTGGCTGGTGAAACTAATTATAAAGAGCAGCAGACTAGGAGACGGTTGCGCAACCGAGCCTTAAAACATAAAAAACTCATGATCTCATAAGGACACACAAGAAGCCTATGCATTCCCTTCTTCTCGCTCTCTTTTTCAAAAGGTGTATCACAAGCCAACAAGGCTTGTGTGATCAATGAGCTTTTCCCTAAACCTCCGATAACTTTTGAACCTCAAGGATAATTTATATCCCAAGGATAATTTTCTATCCACCTATCAAATTTAACAGATGCATAGAGATCTCAGTATTATGGTTGCTAGTTGTTTGGCACGTGCATATAGCTCAAAATTAGCTGTATCATAAACATCCCCTGGCCATGCAGTAATTAAAGGAATAAAGAGAGAGAGAAAAAAAAAGTTTTATGTAATAAGGATAACAGAGAAGGTGACTGGAAGAAAGATCAAAAGTACCATATGAAGGTATACAGAAGACTATTTCTCATTAGCTCATGGAATTAAGTCTGGGAAATTCCTCTTTAAGTTGCGCAAGTCCTCTGGCTGACAACACCTTAGAAAATGACTAAAAAAGTTTTCTATGTATTAAGAATTTGAGATTATTTTTGAACATGGAAGAGAAATGCAAAGATTCTTAACCAGTGTCAATGATCTTGGTATACCTGACAGAATTCCAATATTTCTGAGAGTAGTCAATACCAACAAAGGAACTGAAAACATGCAAAGCACATCTAATTCAGTAGTGGAATTAAAAACCGAACCTAAGGCAGCAGTTTCCAAAAATCATTATATTAAAACCAACTAAACAAAAAAATCAATAATGAAGCAAGCCAAACATTTCAACTACTACTACTTTCTCTGCAGATGCGTGTGTCCAATAAAAAACATTTTGAAAAGGAATGCATAATATTTTCATAGCATTTAAATAAGGTATGAACAAAACAGTTCAATTTAAGTAACTGAGCTTCTTACCTGTCTAGATTTAGCCAATGGCTTCTTCTCATTAGGCTTTTTAGGTGCATCACAAGACTTCCTGATCACTAGAGGCACTCCATATTTTGCAGCAGGTTTGGTAATTTTCTGAGCTGATGCAACTGAAGTCAGTACTTGTTCTTGTGCTGGTCTTTTAGCTAAAAAGACAAAAAACAGCTACCCAGGCTGTCCAGTGTACTGTATTTCCCTTTCCCAAGGTCTTGGGTGAACTGCTAACATTTCATTCACATAGGCTGATGCATAAGTGCAATATACCCAACTTGTCCAAAACAGCTCGTCTAAATTTCATGCTTGATAAGAAACAGCAGAACACAATCCCACATTTCAAACTGAAGAACTGAAGCTTATTTCAGCTGCCATGCTTTATTATCCAATTGTCATGGACACAGGGAAAAGTTTTCCTAGTGGAATGGAGAGACAGGCCTCCCTCCACTAACAACACTGGAATGCAACACTATTGTCAGCAGATGAGTTCTGGAAGAGCTTCAACAGCCTTCAGGGATATTGTTTTCCCTGCAGAGTTCCTGAAAATATGCCAATATTGTGGATTTGATTCTGTGCTAGCAGGGCTCTCTTACTACAGAATAGCAGAACAGCAGTGAAACACTTACATAACACTATTAGAAGACACCAAAGCACCTGCCACAGCTTCAAGTAATTACAAGGAAACAAAATAAAGAAAGGGAAAGAAAATCTAGGAAAAAAAGGGTAAAATAATGCAGGAAAACGAAGTAAGGTAAGACCATCTTGACAAAGTGAAACACAAACTAATTTGCTACCAGAAGCAGAAATTCTACTGCTTTGGGCTGAAGACAGGACTTCAGCCCTGGAATCTCTAACAAAACCTCCCACATTTTTACAAGAAATGGTATTTCTCATTACCAATTTCTCATTAGGAAGGTGGGGGGGGAGGGGAGGGGGGCGGCGCGGAAATCATACAATAACAACATACAAATTATTTCCAGTACGTGCAGTCTTCAGAGTCTCATTAAATTTTGGAAGCGTAGCATACTGCAAGACGAAAAAGTACACCTGAAATACTACAGGACCATAGCTTATACTTGCATCATTTGTACCCTACATACATCCACCTCCCAGGAAGAGAGGGGAAAATTGCTTCCCTCTCTTTTTTCCTGAAACTTCCAGAATCAGGTATAAGAACACACCAAAACCAATAAAAGAACAACGCTACGTACACTATCTTGCCAGAGCTGAACACAAAAGCGCTTTACACACTTACTTACCAGGTGCAGCATGTGGTCCAAACTTCTGGAAGATTTTGTGATTGAATTCTTCTGCAATAAGCTAAACAAAAAGTTGAACAGTTAGCCAACAGTATTTATGTCTGAAGGTAGAAAGAACTCCTTTACGGAGAAGTGTGCCACTCCCAGTAAGCGTCTAACTAATAGTATTCACTGTAACTTAAATTTAAATGAATACTCAACTTTATGTATTCAATTTAGTATCACTAACATTAATATGAAGCTGGATTCAGTATTGTCAAATTTTTTGGCATAACTACTCAAATAATTTTAAAAAAGCAATTTAGTCTGACTTCTGGGTGGCACATGTTACCTCATTTGTGAGCTAGCTAAGAATCTAGAAGAAAGTTATGTGAGCATCAACATAGTTTTACGCATGGTTCATTTTAGACTTCTGTATAGTTGCCAAATTTCACCTCAAATTCTCAGACATCTTGTGTCAAAAAAAATAGTCCTTTAGAAACATTTGCAGTTTTTAGTTTCTCTACCCTTTTCAAGATGGGAAGATGACTACAATATGTGGATATCTAGGAACAACATACACGGTGTGCTGTCAGGCATATCAAATTAGCATAATAAAATCTGGAAAACAGCCTTACTGGAGTAAAAAAAATTGAAGTCTAGACAAAGAACATTCAAACATGAATAGGCCATCATCTCACATCACACTGAACACTGTATGTAGTTCTGAACCCAACACCTCAAAAACCATGTAGTAGAAATGAAAAAGGTTCTGAGAAGAGCAGCAAGGATAATTAAAAGTGTTGAAAAGCTTCAGTACAAAGAACAAGTAAGCTTGCTCTTCAGCCTATAAAAAGATGACCAAGATGTAATGTGACAGGTCTAGGATACCACCTGTGATTTTGCAGAGAAAGCAGAGAAACACACAAGGGCAGCAAATGATAATACCAATATAAGTGGGGTACAACTGAATACAAGGAGGAAGGTTTAGAATAAACAAAGTTGATGCTTTCTGCAACAAGTAGCAGACCTGTGAAATTTCTTACTGATAGTAAAAACATACACAGGTTCAAGGAAAAATCAGGTAAGTTCACAGACAAGAAATCTATTGAGGACGACTAAATATCAAAGATGCTTCCTGAGCTGATGCAATTGAGACAACAAAAGATGAAGGCTGGGAGAGTATTATAGGGTAATGTCACATTGGCTTGCCTTGCTCTTATACGCTTCACCAGGCACTGTTTATAGCCAGTGTTCACTGCCCACAGGAGACGGAGCGAGACTGACTTTTAGCTGACCCAGCACCATGTTCTCATTTGCTAACCTCCTGCTCTGAAATTTCTTGCTGAATCTGAGTGCTGCAACTGGTGCTACCAATACAGAATATTCAAAGGATGGGAACTGCAAAGGTATTTTTTACAACAGTAGAGCTACTTGCAGACAGATAATGCCCATACTACAGACCATCTTTCTAGAGATGGAGCATGCCAGGAATGTGTTACTTAACGTTCTGACAACAATTGACAGCAATGTTAACCGAATAGTCGCTAAACCACAAGGTTTTAAGGAATAGTCTTTATTGAATCCTGAACTATCCAGATTATTTTTATTTGCTTAGAGGCTACCAGTCAGTTACAATGGATGCTGAGGAGTTAAAAACTGAAAAAAACCAAGAGCCAAAGTGCAGAACTTAGGACTCTGCACATGATTGCAGAGAAACTTTTTTTAACCTATACAGTCTGTCATCAAAAGATTCTATAAGCAAGAAGTCACACACGAGAATCGTCTCCTACTAATGGTATTTCAGTGATCTTGAAGCTTTTATCTGGGTGGTAAGCTGTAACAACTGAAGTGTGGTGTTTCCATGATAACACAGCTACTGACAGAAGAGAAACATGACTCTTCCAGTACCTTTCAAAAAGCCTTTTTTTTTTTTTTTTTTAAAACTGATGCTAATTGAGATCCACTCTTTACTGTAACTTAGTAACTATGAAAATTAAAAAAGAATTCATCCAAAACTGGAAGACTGTTTTCCTGTCATTTAAGAGCAAGATTTCAGCAATAGCTGCAACATGTTGAAGATGACAACTATGGAAGATCTCTTAGGTTTAGACTAAGGAAAGCAGAGGACAACAGCATTAACCATGGATGAAACAAAGCAAATAGGCATTGCAGCTGCGTCACAGAATGACCACCTCCGGCTGAGTACGAAGGTACCAGTGATTGATACATTTAGTAAAAGGTGCTTTGTGGGTGCGGGGGTTTGTTGTTTTTAAGATCAGGCAGCATCTCTAAGTTGAACATGTTATTGATTCAGTTGGAAGAATTGTGTGCAAGTATTCACACTCAATCTAGGAGAAATTCGTATCATCATCTGGTAGTAGTCTATTACTAATGATACTTTGCCGGACTAACCCCAAATAAAAATTTCATATCCATTCTAGCTACCGGAAATAAAATCAGATCAAACTATAACTGTTGTAAAAGTTAGGACAACAAACCTATCTGTAAAGACTTCTGAATCTTACCTTTTATTGGGACTTTCATCTGAACTATTATTAGTTGAAAGTCTATTTCATTTACAATTGAAGTTCCAATTATATATGACCTTCTCCTGAAATTTCTTTACTTTTGAGCTAAAATCCACTAGAATTCTTTATACTTAGTGAGGTCTCCTTTTGCATTCATTTCCTCCATGTCCCTTCTCTGTCTATATTTATTTACCTCGTATCAGTACTATTAGTCACTTGTTAATCTTGATCTCTTTTGATTAGATTTATATTAAAAGGACATGAATAGATATCAAATGATATCAACAGATCTGAACCAAATAGTGAGCAACTTCTTCTAGGTTATATACACGTGATACATTTAAACATAAAGAAATTTAAAGATTAGTTTATTTAGCAATATTTCACAGAACACACTTTCAGGCCATTCCAAATTCCAAACAAAAAATGGATTGAAAAAATTATGATAAAGAAGTGATGCTGAAGTCATTGACAGCACCATTTTATGAAAAAATGCCTATCTAAACAAAACAACACCTCACTCAATTCCTCACTAGGTAGAAAAACACACAAAACAATGCACTTAAGAAAATGTCAATTTAAATTTGTTTGTGAAAACTACCAACTACTTAAATAATTTGAGATTTTTCTTTACCGTTTGTAGTAAAACTCCTTTTTCCTCAAATGAAAGTGTCTCTATAAAAGCTGTAGGGAATACAATTACTCCAATTTCTCATGTTGTATATTGACATTAGAATAAAGAAAAGGAAAAGTCCTATGATGTTTTTAGCAAAATTAGAATTAAAACTAACTCCATACCTGTGGTGTGAGAAATTTTTCAACCCGTTTGGCTATAAAGTTTTTCTCCAATATGGAGTTTACTGACGGTCTATTCCTAGGATTCCTTTTAAATAACTGTGACAGCAGATTACGTAGGTCATAGGAGTAATGCACAGAAACAGGAGGAAAAGGTCCAGAGATTATCTTCAGTACCAAGTTCTTCATGTTACCAGCTTCAAACTATATCACACAAGAAAGAAAACACTTACTACGTATTACTTACTATCTGTCCACATGTAAGGCTGCATATAAAGATCAAGAGGAAAACAAAAAACCAAACACACCTTGCCTTGCCTCAACACACCAAACAAATTTTCAAGGCCACCAACAGTTTACATCAGCAGTTTACAATAATCTGCTGACAAGTATTCTGATCATAAATACATCATAATACAGATATTTCACACTATAGAGATATAAATTTTGCTAACAAATAATTATTTCCCTCCAGATCTAGACTGACAATGATATATAATTATATATTTCATATATATGAATATATATGAAATATTTATGAATTATATATGAAATAATTATATAATTATCTGCTTGATCTCCTCTCCCAAACACTTTCAAACTACCACATGCCCTCTGCCCTTTTTAGCAAAGCCACATTTCAAATGAAAGAATGTAAAGCATTCCCACTCATTCAGTGTAAAATCCAAAGGAATGCTTAGACTTCAGCTTAAGCTCAGGAAGCAGAGCACACCATTTCAATTCCTTTGTACAATAAAACGAAAACCATACATATCACCCAGCTCACAGAAAACAACCTATTGCCACCAACTCTCAGAAAGGCAACATTGTCAGCATTGCTGCCACAGAAAAGACCAAGCAGTAAGAAATTACAAAAGCTTGAAATGAAACAAAATCCTTACCCCTTGAAACTTTTCTTCTGATTTGCACGTTTTCATGTTTTTTCTTTTAATAAAAATAGCTATTAAAAAAAACCAAAACCACCCAAAAACCCACAACCAAAACAAGACAGAAAAAATGTTTTTTCTTCCCTTCCTAACTGGAAAACGGATGATAAAGATGTATTCTTCAAAACAACGCACACAAAAAAGGCAACTCTGTCACCTTGGGAGTTTTTCTAAGAACTGTTTCTGTTGTAAACAGAAATGCATTAACCCATCTGCACAAAAGCCGACAGTCCAAATTCAGACTTTCAATGAAAATGCCAAGTTTTTTGAAAGAAAGGAACACTACTCACAGTATCATTTCTTACAGCACCTAACAATTTTTTCAGCTAACACAGTTCATTAAAAACCTACATTGAAAACAAAATATACATTTTCTGGAGAGATTGGCATGAACCAAAACACAGATGGAAAATGTTGGCCAGCATAGGAAGAGGAGATTAAAATGTTGATGGTAATTTTAAATAGTCACCATGAAAGCCTTTCATCAACTGAAACACATCTGTGTAACATCAGGAAAAATCCCTGTTTGAAATCACTATTCTTTTAAAGAAACAAGAAGTTTCTACTCACCGCATGTTTAAGTGTGCACATTTCATAGAGAACACAACCAAGGGCCCAGATATCACTAAATCAAAGAGAACATACTTAAGAATTAGTTCTAGGTGTAACATTGCCATGTAACTTGTATCTGTGAAGTCTATCTTTGAAAAGGAAAAGAAAAGGTTGTATTTTGAGTATGTAAAAGCTCCCTTCTATCTTCCACCCCCTCCCCCCCAACCCACAAAACCCCAAACAAAAAAAGAATTCAACAACCAAAAATAAGGCGAACCTGAAAACCAGTTGGGGTTATCTTGGCTCCAGATTTTATTTAGACTTTTTCATCTGAACCACCCCAATCAGAGAAATTAGACAAAATACGGACAAAGGCTTTCTTTCTTTAAATGTATACATTTGCCTGAGTGTCTTTGAATTAAACAAACAAAAACCTAAACAAAAACCACCACCCAGTTCAGCAAATAAAATTCTTAAAGTCAATTTACTCTGTTTAACATTGAGTTACCTTACCCTCACTCATTATAGGATTACAGAATTTGGTTAGAATACCATTGGATAATAAATCCCATGTAGGAGAAATTAAGGGACAAGGAACTACAATAATTTTTATCTTTTAAGAAACCAATTGAAATTAGTGTAAGGCACTCACAGCAATGGATGCAGCAGCTTACTGAAGCAGAAGACTAACTTGATAGTGACCATGTTAATTACATTAGAGATGCTGTTACCAGATACAGCTTACTGCCAGGACAGCAAACATATAAGCAAAGTATCTGTATGACTTTTATCTGAAGCAAGCTGAGCCACCTATCTACACGTGTGCTTTGAGAATCCAATTACTGTGTTTGTGATTTCATTCTTAACATGGTTTCACATTCATACTGCATAAATTGAGGCAGTACAGCTAGTGTGTAGATAGGCTAAAGTGGAGCCATAATTAAGAACACAGCTAGATCTAGAACTTAGAGCATTAAGCTAAGTCATCTCTGCATCACATTGCTTTGTACTGCACAGACCTACTAAGGTCACACTTGTACAGTGAGACTCGGTACGTTCTTAGGTAAGAGATGAACTAACGTCTATTCACCACCATATGAATAGAACAGCTTTTGATTTCTAAAGAACTCACTTTCTTCTCCTTACCAAAAATATTTAATAAAATGTTTATTAGTACCTTTTATTGTTGTAAGGTTTGTTCTGACATATTTCAGGCGATAAATAGTATGGCGTTCCTATGCAAGTGCGAGCCAACTCGGCAGTACTAAGAAGAAAAAAAAGAATTATGTTAACTAGTTAACTGACATGAAAAGCACAGATTATGTTTTCCTAGATCAAAGTGATTTAGATTAAGTCAGAGAAAACAGCATCAAAAAGGAGTTACCTGTTAAGAACTCTGGCGATCCCAAAATCTCCCAGCTGTATTGTTCCATCTTTGGTTAAAAATATATTCTTGATACAGAAATTTTAAGAAGTCTGTTAATTAAAACATTCATACAATTGCACACTTTTTGTTCTCAACATGTTTTGGGAAGAATAAAGTTTTCTACCATTCAATCACTCTGAAGTCACTAGCAGTAGTGTTACTGACTACTATAAAACATCAGACTTATTCTAGTCCTACTTCATCAACATTAAAGAAAACACTGTTACACATTCTAAAATACAACCTTTTCTGTCCCCACACAAATATATGAGTAATACTCAAGTGGCTTCATCAAATAGCCTCATCTGTTTGTACAAGTATCACATAAAACTCCTCCAGACAATTGTGAAGAAAAAAGTGTTTCCAGTGTTTACGTAAAAAGACTATTTTCCATAATTTGCCAACTTACAGTAGCAAGATATGAATGGAACCACTTTGGAAGTAAATTCAGTTAAAAAATAATTACCTACATACCTGTGACTTTATGTCCCGATGCAAGATTTTTCTATCATGTATGTGTTTTAGTGCTAAACAGATTTGTACAAACCAATCCAGAATCTATGCATAAAAGAAAATGCAACATCAGCATTGTTATTTATCTGAAAGCTTCCCCAATTACATAACTGAAGATATTATCAAATCAGTATTATAATTATAACTTAAGATTTTACCCTCTTCCCACAAGCCTATCTTCGTTTATACCTTAAAAGAATTAAAAACACAACGGTACTGTCACTATAATGCAAACTTTTAAATGAAAGATGCATACAACCCAAATTAGATATTAAGTCTGAGACTACTAGTTTCATTACATATTATAAAGCTAACAAAAGTATGAATTTGATTGGCTAAAATGTTTGACATGGAACTTGCATCTTAAATATTGTACTTTTGCTGTAACTGATACAAGTCCTCCTGCAGTCAGTTAATCAACCAAGAGTCCTAAAAATCCATACTGATGTTTACAGAAACACTTATCATCCAGTAATTTTATGTACTTTACGTTAAAAAGAAAAATAGTACAAAGCAGATTTCAATGAGAAAAGCAACAAACAATATATAACTGGAAGATTATAAACAAGCCAACAAAACCCTTTTTTTTTGTAAATTTGTAAAAATCACAATATAAAAAGAGACTAACAGTAAGAACTTTTCCATGTGAATAGTGATTTCACATTCCCAATTTAGAGTACATACATGTCAAAATTACAGTATAACGCAAGGTGTAATTTTCACTTTTCCATTTTAAGTTCTTCTTGTAAAAGTGAGCCCAAATTAGAAAAATGAAGTTTTACAAATTATATCCAAAACGTTTCATGATTACCCTATTCTAAATACATCAACAGACCTAATACACTACTAAGCCTTTCCAACCACAGCTAAATTTAGATCCTACTGGATGCAGACACAAAAGCATAGAAACAATTTATAAACAAGGAAACACATGTCAGTTTAATAAAAAAACTGAATCCTACATATCTATTTTGACTTAATTTAATCGAATCTCTACATAAAATCCTCTCACTTATTCCAGATTCTCCCACAATACAAATGACTTTATAACCAGTATCATGGAAAAAGAAAATCTGCTGGTATAATTCCAATACAATATTAAGTATTTTCTAATAGAAAAATAAACTTTTGAATTATATTGCTGTATTTCATATTATTGCAACTTCATATTGCTGTATTTCATATTATTATATTTACAAAGTATGTTATTTTATACTTCTGATTAATACTTAAAAATACTTTAAAATGTATTTTTAAGTATTACAAAACAGTAATCCTATGCCATTGTATCTTTAAAAAGAAAATAATTTCAAAGGTTTAAAAATATTCATGTTGTCCTAAAGTATTTGTCATTTCTCAGATTTGGTTTACTTTGCAAGAGATCCAGCTTTTTTTAAAGCGTTTTACACACACAGACAAAACCCCAATTAACATTTCCAGCTACTTTTTTTTTTTTTTTGTAATTAAAGATACTACTGTGACTGATGGCAAGGAGAATCACAATTAGAGAACCTCCTTTTAGATTAAGCCACCATTATCTACCAAACTGATTCAAAATAATTTAAAACTCATGAAAAAGTATCATGCAACAAAACACTATAGCAGCAGTCTGCTGTTACCTGATCTTCAGAGAATAAGATTCCTTTCTGGGCATTTATTTTTTTAAACAGGTCTCCTCCTTCACAGTAATCCATTACTATGTAGAGACAGCCATTTTCTGTAAAATAAAACACAAAATATTTCAAAAAGGAAAAAAACCCCCATCTTTAACATACCTTTCTAATATCTTCACTGCAGTCACAGAAAAAGCAACCTTTAACCTTTTCACATGCAGGTTCAGATATCATTTATTAGTCCTTTTTTCAAACTTCACACAAAAAATTCTTTTATTATTTTGAGTTTCACAACATAAGTTTCCCATTTCTGGTAACATTGGACTATTTTGCTATGGAGAGAAAAAAATGACATCTGTTACCAATGCCTCAAAATGGGGTTCAAAACTACTATGAAATTAAAGGTGTCACTTTGGTTTCATATTGCATTTATATTCTCCAACCTGCTTTCAAACATTCTATAGAGATCTAATTCAGGTAGTTGCCTCTATTTGCCTAATTCTTTCTTGGAGTTTTACCTGGACAAGGCGTTACTCACACTAAGTGCAAGAACGTGACAATCATCAGCTCGCATACCAGACATACGGTTCGTTTCAGAGACTGAAGAACAGTAATAAAACTTCCAGCAGACAATGACAGATGGAAACAATTATTTTCTCATTTTTGAGTGAAATTTGGGGAGACTTCCAAAAATCCATGCAAGTTTCCACTAGGAGCTATGAACATATATAATACATTTCATACAAAGTTACAGTTTTGTTTCGCAATGCAATCTTGTCCAGTTACTGATGAAAAAAAGAGATTAGGCAGAAGCAAATTGCAATTTACCGAAAACACAAGAACTACACTACTCACATATAAGGCACGATTTTGAGAAGAGCTGAACAAATGCATAAAATCAATCACATGCTGCTCAAAAGAAAAACTCTTATTTTATGAAATAGCTAGTCATAGCACTTAAAAAACTCTAAATAGAGTCAAAATTAATTAAATCATCTAAGTCGCTTAAATTTCACTCTTGCAGAATGCTTTGGCTTTCAAAACATCAAACCCAGGATTTTTCTATTGTGTTTACAGCTGTTTGTATCTTGATTAAGCTTTATAATCGGTATTATTTTAAAAGATGACCCTAGGAGTCTGGATTTCTTGCAGACCTGTTGCTGAAATAATTCTCTTTTATAAACCAGATCAGTATGTTCAAAGTCAATGTGCTTTAGCAATAAAGATGCAACATGAAGTCTTGTGAACTACAGACTACAGGATCTACCTTGTAAAAAGAAAAAAAGCAGTCTTAAAGAACAGGCCTCTATTACACAGAAGTCAGAAACATGGATTTATAAATCAGAAGACTATGGCTGTGCAATATGACTATGGCACAAAATTCTAATTTAATTAATAGAAAAAATAAAAGCCCCCAATCTAAAGACATATGAAAGTCAGCAGAAAGAAAGGAAAGGAGAAAAGAGCAGTGCTCCTAAACAGATCTCAAAAAATACTTGGTTTTTTAACAGTATTTTAACCTATATGATAGGCTCTTGGAATCTTTTATCTGTTCTGCTCATTTCCCAAGACATTCACTGGGGAAACAATGTGGTATTATATTTCTCCTTCCTTCATAGCTTTATGAAGCAAACAGTTCCATCTGGTTTTGCAGCTCTGAAAGCAACGATATGATTGCAATTACTGAAGACTGCATTTTAAGACAATAGACTTTGACATAAAATTGCTCTTGCTAGGTTATCAATACCCCAATGGAGACCATACTCATATTTAACATACACAGGCATTCGAGTCGTTAGGGTATACACAAGTATTCAAGGAGACTTACAGTCTGGAGAAACAACAGAACATAACCCTTTCATCTAAGCATCAACAAAAATTGATGCACGTAAGGACGAGACATGAATATTTGTTTAATTGTTGCACTTTTTAAAAATTACTATTATTTTTAAATGTGCTGGGGAATTGTGAAAAAAATACAACCAAAAAGAACTGAAGCAAGTAATAAAAGTACGCAGGAGACTGATTAAAGAGAGAAAACACACTGACTTTTAAACTACATGCAATAAAAAGTGCACAGACAGTAACTTACTATCATTACTTCAGGTTCTACCGTATTAATTAATCTTACCTTCAAATGACTCCCTATACAGGACAATATTGGGATGTTTCATGTTAGCCAATACAGCAACTTCTCTCCTTGATTCTTCCCTCTCCTTATTTGACATCTTCAGAAGGAAAATAATGATTTTTAAGAACAGGAATACAAAAAGAATGGGTCAGTAATTAATAATAATCACTCACCTTAGAGATGTTTATTTCTTTAATAACATACTGTTGGCCATTTTCTTTAGCTTTGACAAGAATTGCTTTCCCAAAGGATCCTTCTCCAATCTTTCGCACTTTAATATATTTATCCATAGTTGTCTTCTTAAGGCATCCTTACTCAAGTACTAGGCAAAAAACCACAAAACAGATTTAGTTAGCCGAACTTAGTCATCTAGCCTGCCAGGTCATGTTACCTTTTTTTTTTTACTCAAAATGTCAATCCGTTTGTCTCCTCACTTGCATCACATGCTTTGTAGCTTTTCTGTAAACCATCTACTCTTAGTCTCAATTCTATTTTGGTACAGTTGGTTCACTTGGTATAGAAAAAGGGCTGCATTGTTAAAACCAGTTTAATCTTTCATCTTGACAGACAGTGTAAAAAAAGGATGTGTTTTATCTTCACACAGAGCAAGTAGTCAGTGCCATAACTTCTGATTCAGCTAACATGCAAACATCATATAGAGCTATAGCACCGGGTTAACAATCTTTCATTCAGCTTTACTTGGAAGAACTAGTGTAGTAGGTGGAAAAAAATTCCTACATGTTGTTTCTTAAGAAGCACTAAATGCAGTATTTTGGAAGTTAGTCACTATAATGAAGCCAAAAATAGACCGAACTCAAGAGATCCCCATCAAGTTTAGAATCATTATTCAATATAGGAAGGTGTTAGCTTAACTCTGACTGAAAACTTAGATAATTTACTTTTACGTGTAGCACAGAAAATAAATTCATTACAAAATGGTGCAAATCAGTATTTTTAATGTACTACCTGACCACTTAGAATACCTTTTGAGATTACACAGGTTACTCAGCTGAATGTTTACGGTGTTTAAGGTTCTATATTAAAAAAACTCCTTGGTAAAAATAAGACACTAGTGAGCTGCATGTGGAAGGTATGGCAATATAGGAAAGTATCAGAACAGCAAAGAGAATTGGCAAAACAGAGACCAAAGTGATAAGTGTCAAAACAAATTCATGGCGGACTAAAAGGTCATCTTTTGTACAGTAGAAAGAACTTCCATACCCTGAGGAAGTTTCCATAAGCTGAAAAAGACAAAAGATTCCTAAGCTTTTCTGCATCCAAGCCTCACTTGAGAGCACTAACAGCATTTGCGCCTTGTACCCAGCTTCCTTCCAACAGGAGACCCTGTTAGCTTAGATCCATACTTCACATACATTTCAGGTGAGGCTTGTCCCCCCAGTTTGGAATAATTTTTTTGTCACAGAATTACCATGTACCAGACACAGATGCTGCTAAAGAGTCTCAGGAAAATGAAGGACCAGTATCATGGAAGCAGACTAAAATGAGTAAGCTTGATTAGCATAGCAAGACAAAACACAAGAGAACTGAAGTAATCTTTTCTGCAAAACAGGAGATAGGGAAACAACCAGGAAAGAAAAACGTGAGAATGACAGGCCTGCAATGTCTCGGTGTTGGGTTTGGGGTTTTTTTTGCGTTGAAGTACAGAAAGATAGTTTAGTGTGAAGTTGCACTTCTAAAAGACTCAATATTAACATCACTGTTCTCTTTCAGGCAATGGTAAAACAGCAGGTGGGACACAATTTTAACTTCACATGGCTTTACTAAGTTCTCTTTCCACCCCTGCTTTGTTTATGAAACAAGCTATGCTGAACTACAGCTAAACCAGCTGCATTAAGCAATAGCTTAGGGCTCCTACTGCATGCTCTTCTGTGCATTATATTAACAATCAATAAGCAGCCTGTGGGCAAGAAGGTACAGTTCAGTCAAAGAAGCGATATAATTTTGCATGAGTTAGACGGCTTATTTTTACCCGTGGCATGGGAAATGCGAGTCTTGAGAAAGGACCTCAGCGCTAACAGGGCGTTGGCTTTTCAAGACCTGGGCAAGAAGTCATTTTACCCATCACGGACAGGCGGCAAAGCGGCTTGTGCGCCCGGGCGCAAGTCACACCCCGAGACAGACTGACCGACTGCTGGGCGCGGAGAAGGTGAGGCGAAAACCCGAACCGCACGGCCAGGCCACGACCAGGCGGACGGAAAGCGGCACCGCGCAGTGCCCGCCAGCCCCAGCA